GTCAAAGAACCAGCATGTAAATTGCTACGACGGAAGATGATGAAATTAAATTATCAGTAATTTTTGTAATATGTCAAAATATCTGTTAATTCAGGTTTTATGTAATATTTTAGTCTCAAAAGTTGAAAAGAAATAATGTTTTTGTAACGTAATGCTTTAAACTGGCCACTAGAGGACAGCATTGCACAGGAATACCTTCGCTCTATAAACTAACAGGTTTGACAGTGACTCACCTGGTCTAAAGTCTCTCCTCCTGGCGGTGTGTAATCACGACACGACTGACCGGCAGCGTTGGCCATGTTCTTCAGATCACTTTTGTGACGGCCTTCGGCGACGCCAAAACCCTGCATTAGCAACAAAACCACAGTTCAGAACCAATGGGCAACTTTTGTAATTGGTAGAAGAAATCCGTCAGATCTTACCCGTTCTCTGAGTAAAGGCTCCAACACCATGTCCATGCCAGAGCAGTGAGTGTTGTTTCTCAGAATTATTTCAGCCGTCTGCAGAAGGAAATCCGGTCAGGGAATTATTGACTCAATAAGTTTGCAAACACTTAAAAAAATCTGTTTTTGGATGAAACGGACCATCTAAAGACTCAAAAATACCTTACCAGCAGCAGTGATTCACAGACCACAGAAACATGAATGCTCATACAAATATTTTTTTATGTGGTCGTCATTCACCTCATGCATCCTGTTTTTTTCTCTTACAGACCAACACATCTTCACTGTTCAACTGATTTTCCATGCATTTGTTAACAGAGCGGTTCTCTAACTGGAACACTGCTTAGCAATGACATACAGCAGCTGTTTGGATCAGTGAGCTCTTTGCAATGTTTAAAGGATTCAAGCTTTAAGCTAACAGATTCATGGTTGTCTTTTACCTGATGTGTAAGKATCTTACCTGCACAGCTCGCTGTAGGTTACTAACAAACACTTTGTTGAATTTGACGTCTTTCAGGTATTGTCCAACTGCTTCCCCCTGCTGCAAGCCTGTCTCCGACAGAGGAGTGTCCACGCCCTGACCTAAAAAAAAAAAAGTTCAGTCTGAATTTAAAACAGATTTAACATTTTTTAAATAAAACATAACTCAGAAATCTTTGAGTACAGATTAAGTTTAGCTTATAAAACTAGTGTAGTAATACTTGTACTGCAGTGGTGGGCACAGCTCCCCTAAAGCACTAAAGCACTAATAGGGGAGCTAATTTCTTGATTAGTGCTTTAGGGCTTTTGCTATTTATTTAATTCATTAGTGGATTAGCACTTGCTAAATTTATGGGCTAAATTTAGAATCACTAACTGAGGTCTTTAAATGTTATTGATAAACATTATTGTTCACAACTGAGGGTGAAAGTTGTCACACATTTTGTTCATGTATGTCACTTATCTACAAGGTCACGTGTCAAGGCTCGTGGGCCAAATGTGTAGGCCTGCAGGTAACTCCCTTTGGCCCACCAAGGGCACTAAGTGATAATATTCTGCACACAGTAAATATTGTCTCATGTTACCTGAAGAATGTTTCATGTGTCAACTGGATTATATTAGTGCTTTAGAATTAGGGGAATTAAATATTTGAGTTAGTGCTTTAGGGTTAGTACAACTAATATTTAGATTAGTGCTGCCCACCACTGATATACTGCTCTATATCCTGTCCTTATAACCAGTCCAAATTAAATATATTTTCAATATATTTAAAAACAATTCTTTAAATATTTTAGTTGTTTTACTTCATCTATGTTACTTTTATTATTTATTTCTGAGGCTCTTGTAATTACCCCATTATAGTTTATATGGTCTTTATACAAAAATATTAACTTCTTTTCAGAATATTTGATAAATACATAACAAAACAAACCTCAAAAATCAAACAATTTGCGAGAAAAAATAAAATGCACAAAAATTTGAGCTCTAAAAATAAGATTTCTTACATTCAAATTTGAGTTAATTTTACTTCTAGTTCAATCTACATATACTTGAACATTTTAAAGTTTTACATTAATGATAACCCTTAAAACCTTCATTACAAAATTTATTTTAATCAATATAATTACATCTCAAAATGATTGTGATTTAAAGTGCAACATGCTATTTGAACAAAACACTGATGCATTGTCTTGTAAAGACTTTTGTTTTAACTAAATAACTAACTTTTTAAGTTCTCTCAGGGATAATAAAGCATCCATCCATAAATTCATTCATTCATTCATTCATTCATTCATAGTGATGCTCACCTTGTAGCAGCTTCTCTCTGTTGTACTGCGTCTCACCACTGTTTGAAAACAGGAAAATATTTTACTTTAATTCAACACTTTAAGTCTCAATAAGTCTCAACTGGCTGACAGTTTAAAACAGCGAAAAATTCAGTTCGACTTTCTTTTCTGTGCTGCTAAACTTTAGCTAACTTAGCCGGCAAATATCAGCCAATACGCTTCATTTACCGAAAAAACATTCAGTTTATCTAATGCAAACGAAATAACAATAATAAAAAGGAAACAACAAATATTGACTTACTGTCGTACAAACGTTAAACTGAATGTAAGCATTTTCACCGTGCTTTCAAGGGCTCCGGCGCTACTTCCGGGTTACGTCTGAAGCATGAGGCGTAGCGGCATTACGTCATGACGCAATGTAACGCTTTCCCATGTTTAGCAAAGTAAACAAACGAAACGGCAAAATGACGAACCTTTTAGAAAGTTGCAACAATTTTCTCTGCTCCAAAATTTTTTAAATAAAACAAGAAAAGTTTGTAAACGTTTTTCATTCAAAAAGTGTTCACTTAAAATCATTTTTTTAAATATTTTTTGACTTTACAGAACTACTTAGCAGCTTTATTTGAGCAATCAATATAATTTCTGATAAAATACCAGCTCGTCTAAGCAGTAAGAATAACAAACACTATGAAACCATGAAATCTCAGTTATGCCTTTTTGTGTCAATGCATATATACATCATTTCGTTCCAATAAATGCTTTGCAAAAAATTGTTTCTAGTAAGTTAACAGTTCTCTGGCAAAAAAAAAAAAAAAAGTGTTAGACAACGAAATAAAAGACCAAACAAATGATTAAAGCCAATTTATTGAAAACAAATTGTTGAGGTACACTGTGTGGTTGCACATAAGGACAGTGGGAGAGGGATTTGAAGTCCAACAACCACACAGAACAATCGCAAACATTTGTGTAAATGGGTACCTCAAAAATACAACATTTCATTTTATTAAAATGAACCAATTAAAACACGTTTTAATAGAAAACATTTTTTTGTGTTTTTTTTTTCTAATAAACTCAACAGGAAAGGATTTATTTTTGATATTTTTTTGTTTTGTTTTTTTAAATAGCACCAGATATATGAAATAAGCCTTTTGAACGTAGGCTGCAGGCACTTTGTTCAGTGAAATCTGGCAGAGGACATTTCCTAACAAGACAGAAAATACAAGTAAAAACCCGTCCAAGAAATCAACGTGAAGACGACGTGGTGATGAAGTGTGATGAGGTATTGGTGAGATGGGTTCTTGCTCTATCAATCCAATTTAAATAACCTGAGGTACACAAGAAGCAGCAAGAATATGATAGAACAAAGAAAGGACACAAATAAAACAACTTCAAAAACGTAAATGAGTAAAACATGCTAATCTAATGACGACTGCAAACAAGAACTTCCAGTCCCGCATCAAACTATTACTTTCCCTCTCACACAAACAAAAGCTGACTTGTTACATATATCAAAAATACATAATATAGCAGCACACAAGTGACATACAGGCATTTTTGTGTAAGACTAGGAAAAACAAGCTTTATAGCAGCAAGAAACAGTTTTAGATAATCTTTCTTACTTTGGAAATGTACAAACGAACATTTAATAGCCTCAGACATATATATTTTTTCAGTTTAAAGCATTGTTTTTACGGGGGAGGAGGAAAAAGACATTTGGCTTTTCAGCACAACCAAACAAGCATCGACACAATTTAAACACTTAGTTAAGATTCTAAAACATGGCTGCAGTGATGCGGTGGTGTTCGAGCTCAGAGTAAGGAACAGCACTGGGAGTTAAACTGCAAAAATCTTTCATGCAGAAGGGAGCAGCCAAAAAGAAGTATAGATTCTGAAACATTGCATTGATTTCAAGCATTTTTTTTGGCAACTGGTTATATACAGGGTGGTTTTAAAACTGCAGTTCTGAAGCAAAAATATAGAGTCAAGGATGTACGCAACTAAGCAGACTCAATGGAAAGGGATCATTGGGAAACAAAAAATATATATATAAAATTCAAGTTTAGGGTTAAATAAAACACACTGAAGTCTACAAGTGGCTTGCTTTGCCTTAGTTTATATGACATACAATTACGCCAATCCTATGACTAGTCACCAGTCGAGGCAGAGCTTTTGAGACAACACGCATCATCACCCCATGGGAATCCAGCCCAGAAAAAAAYATAACTTAAAAAGAAAAAGCTAGAAAAACACCCCCTTCAAATAACTAAAAACTGATTTGTTTTAAATCAACCATCAACCCCTTACCAATCTTAAGGAGTGTGTTTTAAAAGTGCATCATTTTGCCATGTCGCCCTCTTCACTACTAGCTCCATGGTATCATTTATTTTTAAAGAGAATTTGCAAAAACACCCAAATCCTGAAGATCATCAGGGATCATTTCTCTTCTTATCAATCCTGTATGGTGCAAAGGCACAAACTTAAAGCTTAAAGTTACCTTCCTCGTTGCCGTTTGCAATCAAACCGAGCTTTCCACTTTTTTTTTTCAACCACTTTCCACACGCTTTGTTTCGAAACACTTCCAGAAACCTTCTAAACTGCTTCTGTTTTCTCTAAAACCTTGTGAAAACTTGCTAGAACTCATTGTAACCTCAACAATACCAGGCTAAAGCTAAAATCCCTTCCAAATAATAAAACAACTAATGAACTGTGCTCCAACTTGTACGAGCCACACTAAAACAGAACAATGTAGCTCTGATTAATAATAATAATAATAATGATAATAATAAAAAAGAATAAAAAAAACAACACGGTTCTTTTACCTTTCCGGTCTGAAGATGGCAGGGAATCCATAGGTTTTAAAAACAGCCACTGCTTTACATCTCAGACTCCTGCTGTGAGCGGGCCCAGCCCTCTCCGAGCCGCCACTCTTCCTCATAAATAGTAAAGCATCCTCTAGTTGGATATCAGTTTGGTTTGAATGCTATACACTAAATTAAATTATTGCTGTGTGGATTTTCACATGAAGAAAACCGAAGGAAAAGGTAACTGCTTACTAGATATTAATTAATAATAAAAAAAGCTAGCTAAATATATACCATTTAATTATTTATCAAAAAAAGAATATTTCATATGTGTTTTTTTTCTTTTTCAAGTATGAAAATATTTTAGGTTCCCTCTCAAGGAACCTAAGTTTTCAAGGATTAACCATCTTTTGTTTTTAAATAGTTTGATTACATGTGATCTGTACAAAAAGGTGAAAACGCGCCATAAAAACAAGGCGTAAATGGGGTCAAAAAAGGTGAAAAACTAGAAATTTCTTAATATCTAAAAGTTCATAGATTGTCACACCATCACTCGAGGGGGCAACTTAATATGGATACTGGCAGCTTGTGCCCCTCTTTTACTCATCAGTTCTTTGGTCGGCGGGTGCGAGTGCTGTGGAGCGCTGGCAACGACGAGAGCTCATAAGTTGACGTCGCGCACGTCTGTCGGGGTGCTGGACTGGTCCTGCTGCTCCCTTGCCTTGCTGCCGGCTCTGATGCCACTTTCCTGCCGGTACTGCTGGCCCTGCTGCAGGCTGGAGGCCAACACACGCTCTATTTGCTCCTGGCATGCCCTCAGACAGTCCTGGAACAACAAAGAAGAGGGGGCAATAAATAAATAATAACAACTTATAAGCTTCCTTCAAACTTCTTTACATTCCACAACTAATTTAACAAACATTTCTAGTTTGCTTTGGCGGCACGACGGCTCAGTGGTTAGCACCGACGCCTCACAGCAAGAAGGTCCTGAGTTCGATCTCCGGTTCGAACCTGGGGTCTTTCTGTGCAGAGTTTGCATGTTTTCCTCGTGTTTGCGTGGGTTTTCTCTGGGTACTCCGGTTTCCCCCCACCCTTAAAAACATGTACAATTCACAGAAACTGCCTTCAGGCCCAGGCCTCCCTTGAAAAAGAGATCTCAACGGGACTTACCTGGTTAAAGAACGGTAAATAAAATAAAATAAATAAATAAATTTAAACTCATATTGCAAGACTTGTTGTTTTGCATCAAATCAGGGTTTTAAACCTACGTGTTAGTTGTTCAGTTGATTAAAAACTGCTCAGTCAATTGCGAGACGAAACTCGGAACGTCTTTATGTAGCGTGCAAAATACTRGCATTTCTGCTGCATTTGACATGCAAGTCGTTCAGTTTTATTCACATGCTTGGCATACCAGCAGGGAATTACAGGTCTTTAAAAAAGGTAGGTGGTCCTGTCTGCATCATGACTCGAACAATGAGTACCAAGCACACTCCCAACACCAGCAGCTGAGAACAGCAGGCTGCACAGTGGGTACAGGAACTGTCTGACATGAGGCTGGTTCATGAGCAAAAAAAGGTTCCCAGGAGAGAGTCAGAGGTGCAAAAAGAGCTCTGGGATCCACCAGGCAGCAGATAAGCACATCTGAAAAACTGGATTCTTCCCCACCGACCCCCAGCTTGGGTTTACGGCACGGCCAGCCTCATGTGGAGGTCTGGAGGAAATGGCTTTGACCTACTGCACCCTGACCCTCTGAATTTGGGTGTAGAGCAGAATACAGAACAGTGGGACCGGATGTTTTTGGAGAAACTTTTTCTTATGAAATGGGATCCTCTCTCCGTCTTCATCGACGCCCCCCTCCCACCCGCAGGTCTGCGTGTTGAACATGTGGGAGGTCTGCCTCCCTGAGCCGACTGCAAGACCCTTAAAGAATGAGCCTAAGCTCGCAAAAAAAAAAAAGGTTAACATTCCTTTAAAAGGTACCAATAATTGGAACCTGATGGGCTGCTGTCGGGGGGGCCCCTGTTGTGACGGTGATGTTGCGGGGCCCGTGTAGTCATGGCTACGTAACCACAAACTAAACGGCAACAGTGTTTATATGGATTTTAAAAGCCAACCATAAATGTACATCACAAAAGATTATTAGAATAGAATTTTCTTACTGAGACTAAACTGATGACTTTATGTAAGCTCATTCAAATAAATACATCATTACAGAAACACCATTTACTTCCATTAAATGTACACAAAAACAGGTAATGTACAAAATAATGTTGACTGCAGACGCAAAAAAATAAAAATAAAACATTACATGTTGAATTAAGAATGTTTGCACCAGAACAGACAAGTGGGAACATATTGCATTCCACAAATCTATTGATGTCCAACCATTTGTTTCATATTTATTTATATTGTTTACATAGTAGCATTTAGGTTTTTTGGGTTATATTTAGCAACGCCAGCAGTGTTTTTAAAAGATGACTTTAGCTGCCTTTTATTTTTCCTGCAGGCTTGACGACAGCTTAGACGTCCTTCTGCTGCTTCCCATCTGTCTACTGAAAAAGATGTTTCTCGTCTTTATTGCAAACATATTCCTCCAGCAGGAGGGGTGCACAGCTAAAGCGGGAGGCATTCACAGAAACTGCATGCATCCCACCGCAAGAATGTGGGCTCYGAGTTTTAAGAAGACATTCCCTCCGCCGCTGCTCTTTATAGCAGCAGTCTGGCTCTCTAGCCAAGAACCCAAGAGCTAGCTCTCCCTCTGTCCATGAAAAAGTAAATAGTTTCAGCCCGCCACTGAAGTCATCCCTGTTGTTTACTAAAGGGCGTTTTGATGTGCGATATTACAATCCTGGCCATTAACGCTGCATTGTTTTGGCACTAGTGAGCGACTCCTTCCGGTGTGTTTCCACACTCACCACTTCAGTGTTGGTGATCTTGGCCAGCAGGTCTGTCAGGTTGTCTCGGCTGAGTCTTTGGTCGCTGTGGTCCAGCTGCAGACCGCAAACCGCCGCTCCCATGCTGCCCGTGGCGATCATAGAGGGAGGGTTCATGGCAAGACGGTCATCTGCCAAACAAACAGAATTTACGCACGGTTTGAGTTTCAAACTGGAATCACATTTTCAATAAAAGCAAAAGCGGCATCAATGCAGAGGAAGTAAGCTGCACGACGGACGGAAAGGACCGAATCATGGGGGTGCACGATTCCACACAGTTGAGCCCGATTTTCCCACAGTCTGGATCTCAGCCGTTTTGAACCTGCGTGGTTTCCTTCTTAGAAATCTCAGCTCTRATTACAAAAGCAGAGAAGGAATCCTCCTACTCATGGAGCAATGAGCTCCAAGCATGACTCCCCTGAGGCTGCATCCAAGTCTGAAACACTAAAAGCCAAAGCAGATCTGGACGAAGGAGCAGCCATGAAGAACTCAAGTACCTTTTATCAGAAACAGACCAACAACTACAAATAAGGACTTTGTCCAGTGATATAAAAACTGGTGGCATGTTTCTCCACAACAGCCGTAACTCTTTTCACTTCTGTATGATTATGCACCGACGACATTAACAGAATAGCTCAGGCACCAATTTCTTGCCCACTTCTCTTTTCTTATAAAGCTCCATTTCTTTGAATTTACATGATGCATTTAAAGAAAGGCTCAACACTTAAAATAGTTTTAAATAGAGCAATGAAAAACTGAGCTGTAACCAAATAATAAACACAAAAAAAGAACCACACATGCATAATTCAAACCCTTTTTCATTCCGTTTTATGGTTAATTTCCATCAAAATACTTTTTTTTTAAAGTTTCCACATTCTTACATGAAAAAAAAAGGTCAATTACCTGCAGCAATAAAAGCATGCAGGCCTGTTCTGGATTTCAGCAGATACACATGAAAAGGAATTGACACACACTTGTTGAGAGCTAAACTGGGCTTTTCTCAACGCAATGCGAGCCAATGCTTGCAGGCCCGATAGCTTTGATTGAACCCCGGAGAGGAGCCTGGTCGACTGCACCCAGGAAACCATCTGTTCAAAGGAGGAGCTCCCCAATATAAGAATAACTTTTCAACTTTGTAGAAAACTCCAAACATTTACATTACTGCTAAAACCACAGCAGGCTTTCCTTTTTCTCCCCACTGTGGCTGTTTCGTGCTTTGATACAAGCAGCTGCTTATGAATAGCAGAAGCAACCACTGTAACACACCCAAATATATATATATAAAAAATCTAATTATTTATAC